AAATAAATGGAATGTTTATGGAAACAAAAGTAGTAATAAAGGAGTAATGAGAAGGGATTTGTTTCTTACACAGTTAGGGTTGTGCATGTAATTTCATTAAATTACTACTTTTCGTCTTCTGGAGTTAATCATTTTGGCAAATGAACGGCTTAAGTGAATTTTGATTACTGAAGAAAAAGAGAAAATTGGAATTTGCCCTGAGGGGTTCGCTGATGTTTACCCTTCACTGCTAAGTCGTGTACGGAAGAAAGTGTAGATAAATGATAATTTTGATTACAGCACTTAACACCTTTACGATTATGCGTCACATATGTTTGACGCTGTTAATTACTTTTGTTACCATGATATTAACATACACTTGGCGTTCCATGTATCCTATTGTCACTTTAGATATATCAAAATATCACACGTATGACATTTATATAAAATATTTTATTTGGTTTATTTACTATGTTTTATATGTGTATAAATTATATAAATAACATCCCGTGAAATATTTGTAAGAAAGGCACAGTCCATAGTGAGAATATTTTAAATTTGACCGTAGTCGCGGGTGTATTAAGGGACAAAGGCAACCGAGGTTCGACACCAGAAACATTAAGAGTAAGAGGCGAACGTTCGTTTATCCACTATTAATGCAAATATCATCGAACGAACGCCGAATCGTATATTATGTTATCGGCTTCCACGTTCTCGTTACGATTTGCGAGAGCATTCTCTTTTCCAATACATCGGTGAACCGAGTCCAATTAAGCAGTCGATGCCGCGACCTCTTAAGGCGGTGCGCGAGGACAGAAGAATGAAGTACGGGACACTTCCTTCCCAAACGTGTTCACGACCTCGTGCGAACCCATCAGGGGAAAAAATCTATATTCACATTGAGTTGTTATAACGTCTGGCAGGTGGTCTAGGTTATGTTTCTGTTAGGTGTAAAAGATGGAATTAACCCCTTGCCCCAGAATATCGTGTAAAACTCACGACGAAGATTTCAAACTGAATTTAACAAATAAGTATAATTGTCGCTTAATCTCTTTAAATTCAAATTAAATATTATTTTCCTATTATAAATCGTGATAATTTAGACTAAACGTATACGTATAATTAGCGCGAATCTCGTTTCCTCTTCCGCTAGATCAGAAACAGTGAAATAGTTTTCTCGATCGCAGCTGTGAAAGAAATCATAGGACAGGGGGTTAAAAGCCTCTCTTAGAACTGGGAGAAGGTAATACATTAGATTATACATAATTCAGTGACATAACACGGAACATGAAACACCGTGTGTCCGTTGTATACGAATAAACAGCCAGAAACTTTTCGAACAAGGTAACATGAATCAGGGTGAAACCGAAAATAGGGGTGGCACGTGGTGTCCCGGCGAGTTAGAGACAGCGCTATTCCAGTCGAAAAAGGAGGAAAAGAGAAAAGAATCCTAAGGGGAAGTGGTTTCGAGCCGCGCGCGTCGGTTCCTAGCGTGGTCGTCGGTTAGGTGCCTTTTAGTTATTTTTAGAAGTTTCGCGCCTTTTCGCAGTTGCTCACCAACGACCTGGCAGCCGGCCAGTTTCGGGAAGATTCGTGCGTCTGGCTGCTGTGCCGCGCCGCGCAACGAAACACGTGGAGGAGAAGAAGCGGTGTTACGAGGCGGGAGAGATTGCATTTGTTGCCGCACACTTATGCGCAACGTATGCGGCGTTTCTCGTTCGGGTTCTTCCTCGTTCCTCGACTCCTTTCCGCTTGCCCCCGTTACGCGACTTTAAATGGAAGCAACCGAAACGCGACTAACCCTTAACGGCCGGTAATTTTTTAACGATGTCACTTATATAATAACAAAATATTGGTTACATGTTGGGGGGACAATAATAAGAGCTCCAATATAATAAAATAGAAAATATATCTCAAGGTATAGGGAATATAATAAATAAATGAAAATAATGTTTGTTAATTTATAATGATGATATTATTATTAAATGTGGCCTCGAAAATGAATACTTAAATGAACACAATTTCGTAAACAGTGAATTCCTAAGCATCTCGAAGAACAATTGTGCAAACGAAAATTGCAAAAGATTTTTCGTTACAGGGATTAGGAATTGTAAAAATCCTTCCTCGTCGAATGCATTGGCACAATTAAAATTCCGCGGAGACGTTTAAAACACGCGTACATCAAGGCATTTCGAGATTCCCCGGCAGCCACGCGTTATTTCCGCGCGAACGAATGGACGTTCTTGAAAAGAGAAAGAAGCTTATATCTCAGTTTGCTAAGCATTAATTAAAAGTTCACGCTGCGATTGCATCGACCGGGTAAAGTGAAACCGGAAGGCGGGCCCAAGCTTTTTTACACGCCGAGCGTGACGTGTTTCATGATATTCCGACCAGGAATTTTTGTAATTTAAATAGAAACTTTCCGCCCGTTTTATAGGTATAATAATAATTGAAGCGGGTGATAAGAATCGATATATTTAACGAATTCAGATGAGTGGGAACATTTGCATGCAAGTATTTCGAGGGAACGGTAGAATAGAGGGATCGAGTTAAACTCAATAAATTTCGTTTCACGTCAACCTCGTCCCGGTCGTCTTCGTTAGAGATATGTAACGCGTTGCGTGAGCACGCGAAATAAAATCATCGGAATCTAGAAATCACTTTAGCCAAGAAGAAAACCGTGCTATGGAATTATTAAGATATATAACCGTGTTTGTTCGACGGAAACTTTAACGATTCAAATATATCATTTATGGAAAAGGTCTTTAACGTTTTAAATAATCTTCGTTTACAAAGGGTTCACTAAAAATTTCATGATTTGTTTTACCGATTGTTCATTTGAATGTCCAGATTCTGGTAACAAAAACGAATGGGTCTTCCCCAATATTGACCCTATGAGTGCTGTAGACGTATATACGCGTCCGGCAAAAACTTCACCATGGTCTATGGGTGACTTTTGTTCTTTTTAACCTCACATATGCCGTGGTGATAATTATAAGTTCATAGGATTAATATACTCATTTTTTAGTATTATTCAATTTGGTGAAACTGAGGAATTATAATTACAATTTAATTACAATTTAATCGTATGAATTAACATAACTCATCGATCTTCGGATGAGCAAAAAAATATTCCGTCTACATGAAACGTTTTAGCTCGGAGTATTCAGCAGTCAAAAGGTAAAAGGGGAGATTACCTTCATCTGAGGGCTGTCGTTGACACTATTAATTTACGTGTCGCAATAAACATTTGATTGCCTTACGCGGTTACCTGCATATTAATTTTTAAGCTTACCAGCCGGTACAGTTAAACCTCTCGGCAACGGTGAAATCGGCGCCGAAGTTCGCCTGTAAATCGATTGTCGGAACGCTATTGGACTGGATTCTCTTGTCACGAAACACGTTACATCGACATTGAGCGATTGTGTTTCGAATTTGTCCTTGAGGAAAGAGTTATGACCCGTATCCGTATGAGAGAGGAATCTGGACCAACCGGATTTCCACTGATTGTGCCAGACGCCGCGCGTCGTATGGATGACACAGTTTGCAGAAACGCCTACGGTATCGAATGTCCCTTCGAACGCCTCTACGCGAACGGACCGCCACCGAAAACCGTATCGCGGCTGGTTACACCCTCGCGTGTAGCGATTCTTCCCTCTTCCTGTTTTCGCTTCGAGGATACAATGTCGTATCCAATTAACAAAGTTTTTCGTTCGATGTATCGTTTTCGGGGGTAGTTTGCGTCCCTGACCCCGAAAATCATGACCATTTCTTATGAAAATGAACTTAATCCGAATTTAATCACAATTCAACTCTTCTGCTCGTTTCCGTGAAAAACGATCTCGATTGTTGGCTTCAGCGACTCCTAATATCTCCGACGTAACAATTTTGAATCACATATTTTGCTGCCCTAATAGTATATTAGGGACCATTTCATTTTTGTGAATTGTGAACACGAGGATTTTTGGGGGCAACGATATCTCCTTTAATTTCTTTAGTTTTTTTCTTGCTCGAACCCCCTAACGATTTGATATTTCCGCTGTTTGCACGGATGGCCTTCACCCTGAGTATAGAGGATTGTCAACGTGAAGACAGAGGCGTGCTTGTTCCATCCCAACTAATTAGCGAAGTTTTACGGTCGACCGTAGCTGCTAACAGCTTCTCAACGAAGCTGAAGCGCAGAAGGATTTCAACTTGCTCAACGAAACATCGTATTCACCGACCGCGCACTTTCTTATCTTTCGTCACCGTTTATCGAGGGAACGATCGAAAAATGATTTTTCACCGTTGGGTGGAACGTACAACGCGCCTCGTCTAATTATCATGCGACGGTCGCGCGCGAGAGCATTTATTTAAAAAATACGCCTTTATAAACTTCGGATATGTTAATTTCGATGAAGGGGAAAGATATGAATTATTATACTTCTTCCTTTTATTTTCACACCAATTCATTTATGTTTTACATTTATTCCTTATGAACATAGAGCTTCCTGCTCATCTGTTCTACCTTTTGGTTGTGCTTTTAAATACATTATGCTTATGTATATTCGTTGCAAAAAGATATCATCTCTGCTAACAATATTCAAATTAAAATTGATGCCTTATAAGAACAGAGTTGCGGAAGAAATCATGGGACAAGTTGAGTGTGCTAGATAACACGTATCCTAGCGACTCAGTGTTTTCGTGGGTTTTCCGATTTCTTATTTTTTACTGTTATTAGAATTCGCTCGAAGTATTGGCCATCCTTGTCTTTCGAAAACTACTACGAAGGGAAGCGTTTAAAATTCTGACCTCGTTAAGTTACCACCGTGTCAGTCGGTACTTTGTTGCAGTAGTACTGCATAAGTCTCCCACAATGTTGTAGAATCGTGTTCTTGAAATACATGATTCTTATAGTAGCTTTGATGCTACCATTCTTATATTCCATAAAATCAGCATTCTCCTATTACTCGCGGAACACAACAAACGTCTCTTGAAAGTGAACGGAATTTCTCATCTGTGTTCCGTTTGTTTCGTTACAGAAGAAGAAGAGATTGACGTGGTGACGTGTGAGAAGTCATCTAGGCCGGCGGCGCTGCCCACGTACCCCAGCCCCGCGGACCAGCAGCATTTCCAGTTAACAGTGAATACCGCGTTCAAAGACAAGGCTCCAGCTCCGCGACCCCGCGGCCGACCGCCCTCGAACCCGGCGCGGAAGAGGGCCGCACAGGCAGAGTACAAGCCGGTGAAACGTGCGCGTCACAGGCCCTACCAGAGGAGAAATAAGGTGGGCAGATGCGTGACCACCGCGGCTACCCCAGCGTCGATGAAACTACCAGCGGCGATCGTATCGAGAAGCTCGTCGGACGACGAGTTGGACACTGAGAAGAGGAGCCTGCACAACAACATGGAACGCCAGAGGCGGATAGAGCTGCGGAACGCGTTCGAGGAGCTGCGAGTGTTGGTGCCAGCGGTCGAGTCGAAGGAGAAGGCGCCGAAAGTCGCGATCCTCAGGCAGGCGGCCGTCTACTGTGATATGTTGTCGGAGAACGATCAGATCATCGTGTCCAAGGTGACGGAGCTGAGGCGGAGGCAAGAAAAGCTCAGAGCAAAGCTGAGTCAGCTGAGGAGGAGTCTCGCCATGACGCGTTGAGCAGGGACTCTGTGCGGGATTGTAGATTAGATTCAGCCGACCAAAACTACCCTGCCTCTTCTCGGTACGTTTGAGTCCAACCGCGAAAAGAAGATCGGCAACAATCACGCTCGACTTTCGAAGGTGAGAGACCCTTCGACTCCGGGAACAGAGCAGTCTTCGCCGAACCGACCGCGCGCTCCAGCGGCGGGGCGGGGAAGACACTTCGGAGCGGAGCGGAGCAGAACGGAGTGCGTCGTACGGGGATGCAGCGGAAGAGATGCAGAGGCTGACTCGATACTGAGTGTGAGGGATGCTGCGTTGCGGTTCTGCGATCGTTCGCGCGTGATGATTCACGGGACGCCGCGCGGCGCCGTGCGTCGTGCACACAGAGACATGCAGATGTGGATGTTATCGAATCTTTTTGAATCCGTTTGAGAACAGGAGAACGCATTTGGAGGGTTGTTTCGTTGACGTGAAGAGGAAGAATCGAGATATATATCGATACCGCCGCATCATCATCATCATCGTAATCATCATCATCATCGTGACGCAGAGAACACACTAAAGAATTGGTGCCAAATATTGTAGAGAAGACCGAAGAGAGACCGACCGTTTAGAGCTTTCGAGACGATTTTATATTTTTTAAATAGGATCGGAAGCTACGCGAGAAGAAACGAGAGGGAAGGCTTGGTTCGCTTCGGGACGGGATCATGAGAGGTATATTCGTTAAGGACGCGAGACAGACCGGGTTCAGCTCGCCGGTAGACGGAAACACTGTTTACGACGTTCCTTTCGAACTTCTGTTCGGGCATTTCTTTTCTCTCTTTTTGTTTCTTCGTTTCCCGGTACATTTTTTGTTCTGTTTTTGCTTTTCATTTAAACGCACACCGCGAGGAGAAGGAAGGAATGGAAGCGCGTGCGTGTAGTTCAATCGTTGAATGTTAAAAGTCAATTCTACTTTTATTATTCGAATTCTCGATTAGTGTCGTCTTATCGCGCGGATTATCGACTAAGACCGGTTTCGAGCAGCTTGGGTATCCGGCGACGTATATATTTTAGAGGAAATATATTACGAGGGGACCGAAACGATATTCAAAGCATCCGAGATCGAGACGAGCGTCTAATAATTAATCACTCTATGTTTTTCATTGGTTTTTCCGGTATTACGCGTTTCGACGCACGCGCACACATATTCCTAGATCTCGAGACGGTGATTCGGGAAACGCTGGAGAGAAAGGATCCGGATCACGAGCCCGGTGAGAGAAAACCGGCGTCGTGTCGACATTGAAAATCGTTCGGTTTCATCCCTTTTGAATTTCGTTCGGAAAGGATAAAACGTTTTGCACGAGGAAATACAGATATTTATCGGAATTTATTCAATGTTTGTACCACCGGTTCCCAACTAACTGGTCTTAGGACGGTATTTTACACAGCTGAACCGGTTGTAGGTGTACACTTCTTTTTACGGGAAGGAAAGGAATATAAAAGAGAAGGACACGTTAAACTTCGCTGTCGGTGGATGATTCTTTTTCCGGAACTCGTACCGACGGTCGACTAGGAAATAAGTCAGGGAGAAGTTTCTCTTTGATATATTTATATCGAAAGAACTGGAAGGGTCGGTCGGAGCCGGTGCGACGGCAGATTGCCCGCCTCTAATTGCCGCGATTGCGCTGGGTATAAACGACTCCCACGGATGAATAGCGTCGTTCGACGCGTACGAGTTTCGGTGATCGGATCCGTTTGTTTTTCGTTTCGCGAAACCGTACGAATTGTCAAGGGTTTTCGATAGTTGATTGAAAACAAAAAACAAAAATTCTGCTGGACAACCGCCTCGATCTTCGGACGATCGAGCGATTTCTCCGGATCCCGCGGATCGAAAGCCGAACGATCGCGTTCCTCGTTGACGCCGTTCGAGCGCTGCGTAACAAGTCGAACGAACCGCGTCGCGGTCGATGATCCACCACACCCCGTTATCGAGTCGGTGTCGTTGCTTCATTCCCGAAATGCGTATCGTTGTCCCCCGATGAATAAAGTAATTGTTTGCCGGTCGATTATAATATATTAATGATCGCTGTGCGATCACGAAAGTTCCGACATAAACTAAATAGCGCCTACTACGAATGACACGATCCAATTAGCAAATCTGGTTGTGGCTGTTTTCTGAAGAATCTTCGCGAGATTGTTTTCTTTTCTTCTTAGGCGAGCGAAACGGAGTCACGAGTGAAGTAGATAGGAAATAGTTTGCATTTAATCTCACGGAGAAACGTATAAGCCTGACTTACGAATTTTCTTTTTTTTTCGACTCGTTCACGTATGTAGCTTGGTTCCGACTTACGCGTGTGCAGCCCTTTCCTTCTCAGTAATTTTTCCGCCTGTGGAGACGAAACGTTGGTTCATTCGCGAATTCGAGGTTGTTACGTTTGTTCCCTTTCCTCTTTTCTTTTCTTTCTTCGTTCTTTTCTTCTTTTATATAATACACATTTTTCTAATCTGGCAACATTGCCAACCGAAACAAGAATGACGAGTGATACAACGGGTAACTTTTTTACCCCTTTTTTTACGCCTCCGTTCCATTCCTTCCCCCGCGTTTCTCGCGAAGAAATGGCATTCGCATGCCGGCGACGACGGGAGAAACAATAAAATCTTTATCACGTGCTTTCTTCTTCTTTTTTTGGTTCTTTTTTCGTCGACTTTCGCGTTGCTTTCGAACGGGTGCAATAGGCGAATTGATACAGGGGAAAGAGAGCCTACGCGAGCGGAATCGTTATGTTTGTTATTGTCTAATTATCGAGAAAAGGGAATATCATTTCTCAGGGTAACAAAAGGCGCGGAGGTGTATCGGAAGGGTTAGGAAAGAAGAGATTGAACGAAGGATATTTTTTAAACGAAAATTTCGTTTCTTGATGGTTCCGATAACTGGAGAGTTATTATTGCACGCTACGATTTATTATTGTTTAATTTTGCTCGTCACGGTGCTCATAAAGTTGAATACGAAACGAGAGGAAATTTAAAAGGAGAAAACGGTAACGCAATTTTTATAAGAGGGGAGAGGGTGGGAGAGAGAGAGAGAGAGAGAGAGAGAGAGAGAGAGAGAGAGAGAGAGAGAGAGAGAGAGAGAGAGAGAGAGAGAGAGAGAGAGAGAGAGAG